CTCCCCAGTTATTGGGATCAAGATGCTGCAGCACAAGCACCATGGCACAAGCCAGCACGGGGCAGCATCACTCACCAGAGTACGCCCTGGCTTTGGCTTTAGAGGCGCGGGTGCCCTGGGAAAGCGGGCGAGTCTTCACCATCAGGTGCTTGGTGCTGAGGGCATCACGTGCTGCGGGGAGAGAGCAGCGGCATCTGCGTGTGGGGTCAGCCCCATGCCCAGGATCCGGCCACAGGAGAGGCAGGGATGTCTCCCCTCTGCCCGTCCCCAGCCAAACTGGGAGCGGTACCTGTTATGGGGCTGGAGAAGATGCCCAGGGCATGCGTATCGTCCACCCACTTAATATCAAAGCCTTTTTTCCTGCCAGAGAGAGGGAAGCTCAGCAAGGCATCGGCACCTGGTGGGCAGGGGTCTGGAGCAGACCCAGGCAGGGGACCCCAGCGCCGGGGACGGAGCATTGCCGGCAGACTCACTGATAGCTGCAGAAGACACGCAGCAGGTCCTCGGTGCGGAAATCCGAGGGGAAATCATAGATCTCAATGACGTGGGGCAGTTCGGCATCGCTGAGGTCCGGTGCAGCAGGCTCGGCCCCGTAATAGTCGAAGCGGGGTGATTGCCGACTCTCCTGGCGCTTCTCGCCCCCCGAGAGCTGCAGGGGTGGGAGAGGCACAGCACTGAGCAACCCATGCCCGCCCGCCCCACGCAAGCTCCCGATCCATGGCAAGCGCTCCCCGGGAAGCGGTCCGGCCCCTGCTCCCCGCCCCAGCACTGCAGATGGATTCATGGCGTTGAGATATTAGGAGTTATTGACCGGGGCTCTCACACCATGCACTTGCTTTTCACATTACCAGCATCCCTTCACTTGCCACGCTCTGCAGTCCCACCAGGGACGCGGTGGGAATGGCACCGGTGAGACAGCGCATGCACCCCCAAGCACATCACTCCTTCCACAGTGACGTGCTGACCCAAAATACATTTGGAGAACAACAAGGAGCAGAACAGCAAGGCCAGGAGGACAGACTGATGTCTGCCCGCCACATGGGAGCACCAGGCTTGGCATGCTCCAGCTGTAGCACACACACCAGAGCAGCCCATCGGCACCCCAGACACTGAGATGGAAAAGCCAGCACTCCCCTGAGGAGCAAGTTCTGGTGGTTAATCACCTGCGCGGCTAAAAATTTATGCCTTGTTTCTCATTTGAATTTGTCTGGCTTCGCTTTCCAGCCAGCGGTTCTTGTTCTGCCTCGCCGCTGGGTTAAAGAGCTCTCGGTCCCTGGTACCCTCCCCGTGATGGCATTTACTCACACTAATCAAGCCCCTTCTCAATCTTCTTCGTGATAAGCTAAACGGCTTGTGCGCGTTTAGTATCTCACAGCGGGGCGCTTTCTCCAGCCCTAAAAGATGATGGCTGTAGCACTTTTCTACCTCTCCCATTTTTCAACCTTCATTTTAAAATACGGGCAGCAGTCACCCACTGCCATGAGATGAGGGACACAGCCGCCCCCTGCTCCCCTCCACCCCGCAGCATTGATGCCGGTGGGCACCACTTGCTGCTCCTCTGCTTTCCAAACCATGCCGTGCCAGCGGCCAAGGGGATTCACGGCCCCACTCCGGCTGCAACACCGGGCCAGGCACAGCCCGAAGCTGGCAGCAGCTCCCCCATCCCCTGCCCCGGAGCATGGGGCCGGCACGGTGCTGGGGAGCGGGTACATAACTCAGCCGGGTTCCCAGCCCGATCCCCCAAGTGATCGTAGCAGAGCACACCACGGCTGGAAGGTTAGAGTCCATAAATCCCAGCCAGCTCAATCAATAAAAAGTGCTCATTCCGACGATTTTATGGGGAAGATGGATTCACGGCAGGTGAGGGGGTGCTGCCAGGGTGGCTGGATGCCAGTGGAGGGGAGAGCTGAGTTATGGAGCTCACGGGACAGGTTAACATTGCTTGCAGAGCTGCCTGCCCCGCCACCATCGCCCATTAACTGAGCACACCCCATGTAGGGCTGCACACTCATCCAGCACCCCCTGCCCACTCAGGGGATGCAAAGGAGCTGTCCCTGGGCCGCTCAGGAGATGCAAAGGAGCTGTCCCTGGGCAGGATGAAGCCCTGCGGTGCCGCTTGAGGGAGCAGAGCACTCGGGTAGTGCCAGGCGCCGGGAAGATGATTAGAGAGCGGGAGTGCTGAGTGCTGGAGCGGTCCGTGACCTTCACAAAACACCAAGTGTGGCGGGGCAGCAAGGACGGGAGCCATCTGGCAGCCGGGCTCAGCCGCGCAGCGGGCACGGCTCAACAGGTCCCCCCACACTGCCAGCCTGGGCACGCAGGGTGCCCACAGCCCCCCAGCTCTAGGGTGGTGCAGGGAGCGGGAGCCAGGGTACAGCCCCCAGCCCTGGCAGGCACCCAGTGCTGGGAAGGGTCCACTGATGGACAGACAGACGG